ATGTTTTTCTTGCACACGCAACAGGAGAAACCACGCATTGTGTCATAATTAAAAAAGAATGCATGTTGTACTTAGACTCGACAAAACAACATTGCAGGGATGATATAATTATATCGTATGAACTAAATACTTCTATTTCTCTTGCCAATAATGAAAAGTTAATTCTGCAATTATTTCCACTCATAGTTATATTGTCTGTGAGACGTCCCTGATCCAAAGGTATATGACAGATAATCTTGTCCCTGGGAATCAGGTAGCACAAACTAGCGAGTCGCTCGGGTGATAATTGACCTTTCATGTTCTAACTTGCAGCAATGTGTCAATTCTTGAAAGAAAAGTCCGTATTGAATGTAAGTTGTTTGAAAAGGTATTCCCAAAGGTTTACCCGTTCTTTTCTTTAACAATGGCATGTTCAATCATTCTCTTCTTTATCAAATGTGTCAAACTTTCTTGGTCTGATACAGAAAGACAGTACGAAACTTTTTTCTTGTCTAAAGTTAGAACTCGAATAACAACAGCAATGGTTATGGGCATTAAGTAGACACTCCAACTTTATCAGGCCATATTATTATTGGTTGTATATTTCTATTTTATATTGCGTAATATAAGTATCTTACATCTTAACACTGGTAAATAATGTAATCATTTTTTTACTACAGAAATCAACATTGTAAATGCAACATTTCCAATGAGGAAGTAATAACAATAAAAGTAAAAAAAAGAATTGTTAAAACATAATTTGCATTACAAGACATCTTCAAGATGAACCATTGGTGCACGCTCATAAATCAACTCCAAAGTACACATACCCAAATATGCTGCCGCATAATGCGCTTGCATATCTGGGTAAATTAAATTTTTCAGGAGTGTTACGAGTCTATGATCTTACAATAAGCAACAGGAGAGAGTGAACGGCAAGATTTGCAAACTTTAGCAATTTTTTTTACCTAGAATACTAAGTGAATATGAACATAAACAACTTACTGTATAGCGAATTAAATCTCAATATAATGACATATTTACAGACATGAGTCCTAGAGATTTAAAGTTCTGAATAATATTCAGTATATGTCCAGAATAAATCTCAAAACCGTATGCGATGATGTGTCTGTTTTAGCTCCAAGATTTTTGATGTTCCAACAGTCTTATTTTAAATCACATTAATGCAACTCCAGGTTTGAATGCATTATAAATTCAAGTGAATGTCTTCATCCAAAAATTGTATTAAAGCACTTTTGTATCTAGAGAGAAAATAACCACTTGAATTCAATAATATGACCAAAAGAAGATTCAAGAAATGTTACGTATATGTGATTAAATTTCTTTTGTGTAAGGTTTAAAATTCTTTTTATTTAATATTTGTTTCATTGTATTTAATTGCAGTTAATATTTTTCTCGGATTTGGAATTATATTTTTAGTAGCGAGATATACATTTAGCACAAACGTTGTTTATTTAAGACGAAATAGTAATAGGTGAGAATTTACATTGAGTTCATCTTACCTTTGTAACAAATCAACAGGAAGTTAAAATGATTGGTCAGCATCACAGACATACTTTCTCTTTCGTGATGAATGTTGGTAAACAACCATTTAAGATTGTTTTTTTTTAAGTCGGTCTGTATTGGCGGACGTGTGAATTTTAGCGTAATAAATGACCACGTGACCAATCGCGCGAGATTTGAAGTGATGTTTTGTGTGTAAATACACTTTCTTTATATTGGTTTGGCCAGAATCATTCAAAACATTGAAGGAACAAGGTACATTATATATATATATATATATATATATATATATATATATATATATATATATATATATATATATATATATATATTTATTTATTATTTATTTTAAATTTGCTGCCAAAATTCTTCGTCTGATGTTTGGATTCAATAATTTACTTTCATGGACACTCAACAAGTTGACTTTCTTATACAAAAATTCTGGAATTATTCGGAAACAATGACTGTGATTCAAGAAAGAAATTTGTTATTCATACATTGGACTACGTCTGACGTCATCGCCCTCCATATTCGTACATCGTCGGGACTAGAACATGTATTCCTATAGGACTAGTGATAGGACATATGTTTTTATTCTTGTAATCTTATTTTGATTATATTCACAGATTGTAAACACTATTTAAAATGTTTTATAATGTTGTCTATGGAAATAAATTGTTTTGTTAAAATTTACAAAGCTTGTTGACTTTCACTCTTTCCTTTGTTACTGAGTACGAGCTCGTGTCACGTAACAGAACGAAATAAAAATGCTTGACACAACGTACAACTTGATTCCGCTAAAACCTAGAGCACTATTGACCAAGCCCTCATAGTTGCAAGATTTTTTAGTTCTCTACTTAACCTCAGGTCACAACTAATATTTTCTTTAAAAAATTGCCTAATGAAAAATAACCTTCTACAACGAGGCAGATGCTTCTAAACAATAACCTGGATTATGCATAATCCGCTTATGAAATTCTAAAACCTAGACCCATATAAAGATATTGATTTTTTTCTATTAATAATAATACTGATTTCAAGTCCATACATATAGATAACAACTGAGCTATACATTAGTTGTTCACAAAGAATATAATTAAAAATCAGTAGAAAAACATATAAAGTCTATTTTGCCAGTGCGTTTTGCGACGGCTATTCTATTGTATATTTTAGTTGAATTCGACTTATAATCGTGAATATATACTGAAGTATATATTCCAAGAATATTTAATACTAGGTGCATCTATATAATAACAGGTAAATCTATATAAGGATTTGCATGAGCATTCATGTCTTACAGAATAGACAAATCATGGATAGTAATACATACTGAATTGTACATCAAAAAGAAATAATGAAATCAGCTGTGGAACTGTGTTGTTTCATTTCAAACTGCATTCAAACGATTCTAAATGTTGCTTCTTGAACACTTATAACTGCGGCAATAAAAAATAGTATTACTATGCACGACATATGTCATAATCATTATGTTAATTCCGAATATTATATGCCAGTTCATGACGAAGCGATTATGAAATAATAAGGGTCTATCACTCGCTATATTTGATATAAAATGTATTAAATCGCTGATACGTGGTTCCAACAAAAAAAATCATATAGAAATTCACATAAATACAGAAATAATTTATATGTACATTGATAGCTGATGCCATGCTGTTAACAAATTTAGGTTACCTATATGATTCAAATTTGCCTTGCAAATAAACGTGGATAGGATGCATGCAATCCATTAGTTTTTTATATACGAGTGGTCTTCCTTTTAATGTCTTAGTCTTTGAAAAGAGCACATTTTCTTTCTACGGCTACAGTAAATACTTGCAAAAATTATATACACTGACACGAGTGTCTCCTAAAATGTTGAAAAACGTGACATGAAACTTCCTCGCTAATACAATAGGTCTCAATGATTTACCAGCAAGCATAAAACCTATTGATTTCCAAATTTCAATTTTAGTTAAAGTTCTAATAAAAATGTGGCTATATTCTGCGTTTCATTGATGTAAACAACCTTGAAATTTATTAGATAATCTCGAAAATAACTTTCAAATCTGTTTAAAATCTTATTAATGCAGTTTTAACTTTGCTTCATTATATTACATTACTTTAATTATTTTCTTAGTTCCCTTTTCATTTTCTAATGTACAAATATTAACTTAGTCGTTCTATGTCTAAACGTTTACTTTACTCATAATTATTGACCCTTTGTTTATATCATTTTATAGCTTTTTTATTTTCATAAGTAATTCATGTAAATGGAGGAAGATTTCCTCACAATATTTTTTCATATCTCTGTCTTTATTTTTTATATTCTTGTTTCAATAATCGGATTTCCGAGAACTAAAGGTTTGAATGTTTGCTTAGATTAGTTAATCGTTTGACCTTTAATTTTAGTTTTTAAGCTATTCCAATATCCTAAAGATTGATCTCGTATTTTTTAATTCCTACTTATAAGGTAAGTAATTAGCATTTAATACGGTATGGCTTAAATATGAGTTGTTATATTTCCAATAACCTCAACCGTATGTTATTGAAGCATTGCCTTCTATAAGTAAAATTACTGCGACTTGGTTAAGATATTTGGAAAGACTAAACTGCGGTCATTCTTTGGATCCATCCACTAAAAGTTTCTGAGTTTACTATTGAATATATTTTGACCCAAGTATGTAAAATAAGAAATTGGACTTCTTAGTTGCATGCATTATGACAGAAGATGCTGGCAAAAGATGCAGTTATTATGGTAACAACATTAACGTCAGTGCTGAAAGTGTTGAAAAGTTCTGCAATGGGCATCATCAATTTTCATATTCTATGTCGTCGTCTTGATATGCTTTTTTCTGAGATTAGTAATAAAAATGCAGATGATGTGTAAAGATGTTAATGCAATATGTTTTATTCAATTACAGTTTCTACAGTTTAAAAACTAATCATCAATTTATTTTCGCTAATCTCCAGGCACTATTTTCCCACTAAGAGTGGATAATATCTCTCCAGGAATAACTGTTATAGCTGCGCAGTGAGGTTGCTTCTGAAAGCAAACCTCTTTGTTCCACTGCAAAATTTCATTACGGTCTTAGTAAGAATTTGTTTAGTCTTCAACGTATGAAAATAAAATTCAGGTAGGAAAAGAAGATTAATATGTAAAATATTTGAGTCAGAACTTGAATTAATAAAAAACGAACAGAAGTAAAACGTTTGATGTCAAAGAGAATGAATAATATTATCGAACTATATGCTGTTGTTGTGATTGGGTATTGTTAAGGTAGCTTTGACAATTTTTCAGTCATATAGCTACGTTTTCTGTAGTGTGGCAGTTTATAGTGATTTCTAACACTGGAGAATCATGCCACAGATATGTAGAATTATGTCTCACCCAGTCACATTATCCTGACACCAAGCCGACCAGTCCTAACATTAACCTCTTAAATCTGAGCGAGAAGCGAGGCAGCTGTTAGTACCATTTTTGTAAGTCTTTGGTATGACACGCCGGAAATCGAACCCACGACCTCCCGCATCGGAAACGGAAGCTGTAACCACTAGGCCACCGGAGCGGTCACATCATCAACCTATATACCATATGTGTGTATGTGTGTGTGTTTGCCTAAAAGAAACTTGTTTGAATGTAAAAGAACAAATGTCAACTGTTCCAATTATAATTATAAAGTCAGTCTTTAATACATCATTTCACAATCCTCATAATATATCATCATACTATTCAGATACATCGACCGGTGTAATAAACGTGTGCTGAAAACAATATATAGAAAAAAGAAACTGAAATTGAATTCAATATTTCCATAAAAATGTATGAAATATTTAATGGGTCAGATGATGCCGTTATGCAGCCATGCTTGTCTCTGTGAGACGTTGTTGCTAAGTAACTATTCTCTTAATTTCATGAGAACAGCAGCTCATCGATTCAAAACTACATTAAAATATAGAACAATATCGTTGACCTACTGAGCACATAGTGATTAAAAGTTTTTTGTTTCTTTTTGTTATTTTTTTTAATATCAGTAAATGTATCAGAAAACGCAATATGAAACTTATATAGATGTGTCAAAAGAGCGATCACTTGTAAGTTTTAAAACAAACAGCATTTGGTAAAAGTACTGCATATTTATTTTTTTTAAGTCTGAAAATTACCTCAATCCACAAAAATTGAAATTGTGGTATGTGCATGAATTAAGTATATTATGGAAAATGCAAACATCTAAAACACATTCCATTAGGGCAATGCTTCCAAACATTTATATTTAGGGCGAGGGGGAGCTTTACAAATAGGTTATCTAAGACTCACGACCAGGTTTCCATATGCTGATAGATTTTGTCAACCATAAAAGAAACTCCTGGTGACATTCCTCGACCCTCTATAACGTCCTTGCGATTCCAATTTAGCTCGCGATCTGGGGGTGGTGCGAACTACTGCGTTAAGGCTTTGTTTGTACCTTTAGTCAAACCATGAATGCTGCAGACCAATGGTTTACAGAGATAATGACTGCTTTCAGAAGAAAAGAAAAACAAAGACAACGCTACAGGCCACATTATGTCCTCTATTTCAGCACACATGGACTATCATATGCTACGAGTTTATGGATATCAGGTGTTGAGTTGCAAGACAAGAGCTTCGTCTTCCCTTACTATTTGTAAGGTTTCTATAACAGAAGGTAAAGTGATGAATTTTTGTCTGGACAATTATTCTGCATCTATTATACGATTTATGACCTATCATTTTGTTGTAGCTACTATATATGGTCCGCCCTTTCATTACCGCGCAGTATATTAGCAGTTAATATAATGACAACGAGTTCTCTATCCGTCTTAATATCTCACAATTTGTCATCCTCGAGAGTCTTACATGCTTGATTATCAAATAATTCTGTTTAACATTTGTGATAGGTGGATGAAAGTCATGTACTTAATTACCACAATATGGAATGCAGTTACTATGGAGCTTGACGCAATTAGTATTTATTTACACAGTACAGATTTATTTATATATTTGTTTGTGTCTCGGTGTTGAGAAGAAAAGGGAAATTAAATATCACTTTTAAACAAGATAGTTCTTCTATCATTCTAAGCACGAGCTAATATATTTATTCCATAAGGTAAACTTAATATAAACATAATGTTAACAAATATCACATTTCCTTCTTAATATATGTTTATTACATGTAGTGGCCATAAAGGTTGTATCAAATAATGACTCCGTGAGAAACAATTTTGCTGAAATATACTCTAACAAATGCGAATATAATGTGTTTATTATTTGTTTTTGTTGATTACTACTGAAACAATTTTGACCTTTTCAGTGGTGTGTTTAGCACAATTTAATATGTGATTTTTTCTCTTCATATAACATTATACAGGAAGGTGACAAAAGGATTTAAAAGCACTCATGGCGAACACAGATGTCCAAGCTTTCACAATAATAAACAACAAATGTAAGAAATGGTTGTACAAGGAAAAACATATACAACGGTCTCATTGTAAATTTTTGTGATATAACGAATAAGATATAGGTAAGGAAAGGTTATGCAGGGATGAATAGGTAATGTAATTGAAACAAACAAACAACAGTTTACATATGCAGATAAGGCTATTCACGTATTCCAATCAAAGCATATTAAACTGCAATAAACATTTGGTTGCTCGTGTCTGTGTGTGTTTTGTGAATGTGTGTGTGTTATTAAAATTTTTTGTAACGTAGTTTTAACAGTTTGTTTTAGTCACATCGCTACGATGTCTGCAATGAAACAGTTTATAATGACGTTTAGCTCCGAGCCATCATGACACAGACACGTGACTTGATATCCCACCCAGTCACGTTATCCTAACACTAGGCCGACCAGTCCTAACATCTTAATGCCGAGCGCCAAGCAAAGCAGCTGTTAGTACCATATTTTAAAGTCTTTTGGTTTGACTGAACCGCGGTTCAAACCCGCGACCTCCTGCATCCCAGACGGACGTTCTAACATTTGGTTCCTTAAGTAAAAAACAAATGCATCCTTATAATTTAAAGTAACAAGGAAACGAAGAAACTGTTGAAAACGATAGATAACATGGAAAAAAATCAAATGTTAACACCTGATTATATTGCTTTTAGTATATAATTTTATCTAATACTAACATGGAAATATAACAGGTGAGAAGTAACTGGACAGGAAAGGTATTGTAAGCATGTAAAGTATTGCTGTTGAGTTATAATTCTACAGACTGATATCGATTTCTAATTCCAAGAAGCAAACTAATCCGACTGAGCACCATTTATGTATGAAATTACCAAGATTAAATTGGTAAAAGTGAGTTCTGTCTCTGCATTTTAATCTGGATAGAAAAAAGGGTGACGGTGTATTACCAATTTCTTCTTCTTTATGATAATATGCACAAATACAATTAATCCATGTGGCACTGTTTTATTCAAGGCATAATAAGAGACAAATAACCACGAATTCAGGTTTCGAGAACGACTACTCTTTCGAAAAGAGACCGAATTAAGGTGTTTATTCAAGCATTTAATTATTGGGTGGGGTAGGAAATATTAGTGCGTAATGGAAAAATAAATGATCAAAAGTTTCTATCAAACGTCAAAAAGTGCCTGATTTGAATTGAAAAATTCCTTTCAAAATCACACTAAAATTAACTGGCAAAATGTAGAGGAATGTTTTAACACACATTTCTATTGATGGCATTTTACGTTTATTATGTAAGTTTCGCAAAAATTGGTGAAATATGGGTCATATAATTTTGAAATTTTTGAGATCTTAAAGGAATTTTCTAAGTTGACATCGATGAATGATCTTTACAGAATCTGGGTGAAAACGGAAAGTTGTATTATTATCATGAAATTTTTTAAGAATATTACATTCTTTTTTATATAATTGGGTTATTATAAATTAGGGATGTACTTATTGAGGCATACAGTAGAGTTGAAGGACCTTTATTACAAATAAGTCTAATACCTAAGAAAGAATTTTCATTTGACAAAAATTCATCCAGTAATTTTTTGCATCGGTTGGATATGTAATTTCTTACAAAATTCCAGCTGTTTAATATTAATACCACCACCTTGAGGAGAGCTAACAAATGTAGCTCTATCAAAAGTTTCAAAGTCTGAATATACAAATAAAAAAGCGAGATGTTGATTAGAGTCATATAATGTTTAGATAGGTTGACTCGATGCTGAGACAATAATAAAGTTTGAAATAGAAACGTTTTTTCTTTTCTATGGTACTACTGTATTTGTAAGTTGCTTAACGTTTTATTTCAGTGATCATCATTAGATATTTTATGTCCAAAACGAAAACATATTAATTGATGTTTTTCGATCCAAGAAGTGTCGAAAGGACGATCACTGGGGGTGTGTCATTTCCCTATAAACATACTATCAGATTTACTATAATTTATCTTATCTCAAAAGGCTAGTTCATATATGTTTGACCAAATTAAATACCAACTGATTTGCTAGTGCAACAGAAACATGTATTATTGTCCTCGCAAGTGGATATCTTATAAACGTATGTTGTACATGCAGATTTAACACTAATATATTCTTAATCATTACAAGGTTTAGCTGCAAGATAATCATACGATGTCATTTGAAAAGGAGGGGGAGGTATGATACCATAACATTCTCCTCTTGTAATTGGTAATGGTTATAAAATACAATTATTGGCTAAAGTGGGGAAATTTATATAGGAATAATAAATAGTCACCATTTAATAAAATTATGGTGAAAGCCGAAATTTTAAAACGTTTTTAGCGAACATTTATAGTTAACTCTCTTCAAGTCTTTATATCGATGAAATTTTAAATGTACACGAGAGGTCTTTTCATTGCATTTGATCGCAAATATTATTAATTAAATACCAATACAAAAAAATGACTGAGTTTTGACTCCCCATTTGACACATGTGTATAATTTTAGAAATAGCATTAACGAGTCTATTAGTCGCAATGTTTTATATAATTTTATCATCCATATTTAATACAGAGATAGGACTCCATTTTTCCATGTTATATAGTATAAGTTTTGGAAATCAGAACTTGACTAAGACGATCAAATGCATGCACATCAACATGTCTGTTACCCAAAATATTGAAAAACTTGGCATAAAACTTCCTCATTAACAACATCGGTCTGGGTGATTTATTATCATCTATCAAACTTATTGATATCCAAGTTTATATTTTAGCTAAATGTCTTATTTTCTGCTGTTCATTGATTTAAACATTTTTGTAATTCGTTAGATAATCTCGAAATGAAAACTTTCTAAAACTGTCTAAAATGTTATTAATTGAGTTTCTATCTCGCATTATTATGCTACATTTCAGTAATAGTTTCCTTAGTTTTTTTTTCTAATGTAGCAATACTGACTTTGTCGATCGTTGTTGTCTACAATTATGCCTTACTCCTAATTATTCTTTAATGGATATACGTAATTCCTGTAACTGGAAGGAGAGATCCTCACTACATTTTGTGTCGTATCTCTGCTTAGATTAGTTAATCATTTGACCTTTAATTTGAGTTTTCAAGCTATTTCAAA